GAAAGCAGGACCAGTGTGCTCACAGCTGGGGGTTCAAATCATGTTATTTCTCATTGCAAGTCAAGGAAACTTTATCATTTTTGAGGGTACAACATTGATGAATGATTTATGCATTGACCATTTTTCTGATTGGAACAAGTAAAATGGTTTGGATCTTTACTCATTCAATTCCTGTCCAGCGAATAGTTTCAACTACAGATTTTTGTCCAAGGTCACTAGAACACAATGATTTCGATAATTATAATAAAGATAAAAAAGTGTAAAAAATTTTGGGTGAATGTTCTGTATAATATTGCATCCTAGTGCGTGTGTCACATCAAGAATGAACGACATTATTTCTTTAATTTCATTTATTACCCAAAAAAAAAAAGTTAATCTTTGTTTGGAGCAACAAAGGGAAAAAAAGTATTACTGTTTTTATGAATAAACTTGCTCCCCTACCCTTTTAACTTCCTTACCCAAGTAAGTTATTGCCATTGCTTTTCTAGTTCAAGTTGATGCATAAGGAGAAGGGGAATAAGCATTAAGATAGAGAATACAGGCGTTGTGAACATTAAACACTTTATCTAAAACAAGAAAGATAACGTTTCCCTCATGATCAGGCTTATACAAGAATATGATCTTTACCTTTAGGTTAAAGTAACAAGAAAAGTGCATTAATTGCAGGGTTTCTAAAATGGTAATCTTAGAAGTTAATTGGCTTGTAATGGTTACACTAAAAGTATTTCCATTTTCAAATGTAAAAGCCCAAACGAACAAATAATTATGAAGTTATCTACAATTTAAAATGCAATCCAAACGCGAATTGAAACTTTCATGCTATCTTGCAACAACTTTTAGGGTTTTTCTAACAAGTAATCAATGGACACTCGTTAACACATTTAAAATTTATATAACCGACAATGTATATACGCACACAAACAATTACTATCTATCCTTGCATTTATATACGTTTCCTCTTCATTCTTACCTACTCTCCTTTATATTTATTTACTTTTTTTTTAATTAATCTTATATTTTCAAAAATATGATATTTAAAATATATCTTAACGGGTAACCATTAGAGAGACCCTAATTCTTATCATGATGCTTTCTTTGTGTTTAATGCTTCTTCGTTACATTAGTTGCTATTCCTTGTCATATGAAGAACTATGCAGCCACAATGCATGTTGTAATGTATTATTACTAAACATGACATGACTTTTCAAGAACGAACAGCTTTGTCATTTTTCCATATAAAGAACCATGTAAGCGACGTTCATGGACAAGGTGATGGCTTGTTTTTGGTAAGTGTGAACCACACTACGTCTCTAGCATTAACATTTCTGGCAAATGTGACGCTATTTCTTCAACGTGGGACTTCTTGCCTTGTACGAGTTTCATAGCAAATTTTGTTCATTGCATGTTCTACATTATTCAATTGTACTGTTTGTGCTATAAGACATGCTCGAAAGGGCCTTTTTCGGGGCAGCTAAAAGCATAAAAACAGGATAAAGAAAAATTGGGGTCATGTGTTTGCAAAAAAAAAGAAAGAAAGAAAGAAAGAAAATCTCGTATATATCCAAGTTCCATTACTGTGTTGGTTTTTGGCTAAATTCTACTTTGGGCCTTTAAATTATAGATGCGCTTTCACTTCATTTTTTAAATTTTATTTTTGAACACTTTATCTTGGAAGAAAATTTGGGTAATGTGTTGGGAGAAAAAGAAAAGAAAACCAAGTATTTAAATTCCACTACTGCATAGCATTATTGCTCCTGTGCATATACCAATATTTTAGCTCCATTTTTTTTGTTTTGTTTTCACAATTTTGTCTCGAGATGGCATCGATTAGTTTCGAACTTAGCCTAATTCACCTTCTTAAATTATAAGACTTGGATTTGGGACATTAAAATTTGATTATTGATTCTCATTTTTTTTTCTACAACATTATCAGTAACTCTCGATCTGTTATTAAGATGGATGTTCAATTTGGGACATTAGCCTCGACTGATTTAACAAAATAAAATGGATATTCAATTTGTTCAAAGAAAAAAGGACGACCAAATCACATCAATCAGCCTCAAAAGTGATTTATTCAAGATAGATAGTTGAGCAATTTAATTAATTGATATTTGGTCATATCAATTAAATTTTTTGTCAGTTGGAGATATTAATACAAAACTACAATTCAGTGCCTGGATTTTGTAGTTGGGGCCCGGAAGATTAGAACAAATTGTGTGGCAGCCATCCCACCGTTCAAAGTATTGAGTTTTGACAACTTGAACACTGACCTTTTCATTTGAAACACTTTAACATCTAATAAGTTTCCTAATCCATACTGAAATTAATTTTATACTTAAATACAATAGAGTTTCTAACTATCACTTCAACCCTGCATTATAATTCCATTTGATTTAATGTTTAAGTTGCTAATTTCATTCATTTCAAGAATCAATATTTAATGTGAAAAATAACAATTTAGGGTGTTAGACATCAATATCTCAATAGTTCAAGAATACGAATTGGTGGTAAACCTTAATAGAGCTACGAGAATAGGTATCTCTTTTTATTTACTTATTTTGGAAGGGTATATCTCTTTTATTATGTAACCATGCAAGGAATTCATTAAGCTTCATGCAAATTGAGCTAATTAGAAAAATTTTCTTTCTTTTAACCGACTAAAAACATGCAAAGAAATCTTAAAAGAGGGGATGTGCCTAACTGCATGTAATGAATACGCTTTTCAGGTTGCAAATAACAACCTTCTTTGTCTCACCATCAAATGGACCTTCTTTGTCTCACCATCAAATGGATGTTGCAAACCACTGAGCGTTGCAAATAACAACCTTCTTTGTCTCACCATCAAATGGATGTTGCAAACCACTGTGCTTAGCTCAGTAGCCACTAGGGAGGGACCTAAGTCCCTCCTTGGGCTGTAGGTGAGGTTCACCTACAGCAAAAAAAATCTAAGAATCACATCACTTTCTTGGTTTAGTTGAATCTGGCTATCCATTAACCCCTAACACAAGTCTTCTTAGGCTCCCCCTTCCCCTAGATTAGGATATACTGGCCAAAAAAAAAAAGATGTTGCAAGATGGTCTAGAATATACACATATAATTGATATGCTTCAAACAATGCTTCAATATGAACACCAGCTATAGCCTTGGTGGTCAAATCCTACTCAATGGCCAGTTCCTGTACTATTGTTGCCCAAACATTAAGTGAATGTGGTCATGTTACTACGATCCACTTTGTCCACTCAATTGTTTGTACCCATAACTTAACTAGGTACTTTCAGCTGTCAAGCTTGGAGTAAAGTTTTAATTTTGTAAGTATAATAAATATACAGCTCCAGACCTTAGAAGTTCTAGATTCTAATATCTCTTCTTCCTCCGCATTTCTTGAATTCTATCCTTTTTCTACGAGAAATTTTTTTTTTTTATAAAAATAAGTACAATATACATGGATCAATTGACTGACCTTGAAATTTTGTACTTCAAACATTGGTAGAAGAAGAAAAATATAATGGTTTGATAAAAGCCATATGGAGTTGACAGGATGCATTGGATAGTTTGTAGGGGATTAACTAGAGATCATGTGGAAATACAATTGGAGAAATGGTAATGAGTAGGTTTTCCCCAAGGCAAACTGATGGCAAATGAAAGTTGACGACAAATTTTAGGGAGGGCAAAGGGGACTTCTGGCAAAATATTTAGAAATATTGGAGGCCTTTACTAAATTTCAGGAACTTGGGGGATGGTTCTTCTGGTCCACCCTCCTCTATGAAAAACCAGGCTGGATCAGAACCCACAGAAAGAAAAAAAAAAAAGCAAAAAGCAAAAAATAACCCTGTTTCGCTGTATCTCAAGCAAAATCTAATGACAGCATTTCAATTTTGTACGTTTGTTATAGACTATTGACTTTACTATAAAATTTATATACGGAAAGTACATTCTTTGAATATCATACATAAGTCGACTTAGACAAATTGCAGACACTTACATTTTTTTGATAAAAAAATTTTATTACTAAAATTGTTGAAAATCGTCCAGCAACAAATGATCGATAAAAGTTGGAAAAGAATTTTCAAAGGATTCAATACAGTCAGATAATGACATGAAAGTAACATTACACATACATCGACTTTGGTTTGTTTGGATACTCAATTTTTTATTTACATGATAAATACATTTTGTAATTATTATTTTATTTTTCTAACCACATTTTTGTCTCATATATACATCACACTTCAGAAAGTACTGCATTATTATTTCAAAATAATTTTCAATCCAAATAGAGCAGATGGAGCCTATTTCAGTATCTATTTAAACACAAATTAATGTTAAGACATGAATCTTATTAAAGCACGCCGGTAATTAAGACATCCTAATTTGCAATTTAGAAATGCAAAAGGAGCCATAATTTACTGCCTTTTTTGTCTTTGTCTTTATCTACAATAAAAATACCAAAAACGAAAATAAATTTCCTTCTCATATGATCAGTGCATGTAAAGTCACGTGTAAACATGGCACGTGTACGCAGTCAAATCTCCACAATTGCATAGCAGCTGCATATATAGTGTCATGTCTAGGGGTGCAAACGAGCCGAATCGAGTCGAGTTTTGAGCTTATCGAGTCGAGTCAGGCGTATTTATATGAGAGCTCGAGTTCGAGCTCGAGCTCGTCGAGCTCGAAAAATAGAGCTCGAGCTCGGCTCGACGTAAGAAAAGGAAAACTCGAGATCGACTCGTTTATGACTCGCGAGCTTAGCTCGAAATCTGGCTCGCGAATAGCTCGAGTTTCGCTCGATTTTCTAGCTCGCATGAAGCTCGAAAGCAGCTCGAATTCTAGCTCGTTTGGAGCTCGAGTTCGAACTCGAAAATAGCTCGAAAATTTCTGAAACTTTAAGCAAGAATACAGCATTTTTTCCCCATTTTTTGACAAAATTTGCACATGAAATAACTACAATTTTTCACATATTCTTGATTTTGAGGCCTACAAATTATGCACTAATACAATCATAAATGTCCAAATGTCCACTAATACAAATTATCCAAAAATTATCCACTAATACAAATTATCCAAATGTCCACAAAAATCCATTAATACAAATTATGATAACTTCACTGATCAGGAATATATTTAGCAATTGTCTCAGCACATATTTGAAAAGACACATCCCTTCAGTCTCAGTAGGTTACCTTTGTAATCTTCCCTAATGCCAGCAATGGATCTACGAACCAACCTGCAGGCAACATGCAAGAGCTTCTTCAATCCATCAAGAACTTCAAAAGATAGAAATATACTCATTAAAATGAAATTATATGAGGAAATACAGGTCTTTTAGTCCAATTTTTCAGCCAAAGCTCAAAATATTACAAGCTATCACAAATTTACAACACAAAATATCTGTTGTAGACAGCTAGATACATCCAATTGAAAAGATATATAGGCACGAAAGTCCAGCCCCAATTTCGTTAAGCTGTTTTAGTCTCCCTCTACCCATTTTACAGAGAAAGCAAAAAAAAAACTTGGGCAAAAATTAATTATCTTTGCAGAAGAACCTGCCCGGAAAATGAAAATCAGATAACTTCAAACAACTCAACAAATTTCACGACTTTCTATTGAAACTGTAAATACTGAGAAGGATCAATCACAATAACTCAACAAATATAACCATACACTAGTGTAAAAGCATCATGTGTATTCGGATGTTATAAAATAGCGCCTAACTAATAAGCAAAGCTGTACAACCGAAACTTCAGAGCCTAAAGAAAACAAGCCAATGGCAGTTTCAAGAAAATCACTACATAATCAATCCAATACAACAATAACATCCAAGACAAAAAGCAGATTATCCTATGATTGAAACCATATACTGAGAAAAACAAAGTCTGCATAGCAACCACACAACAAAAGAACTTAAGACTGCTTTACTTAAACATGCTTGAAAACAATCAAAATGGAATCTTTGAAGCTCAAAACAGACCACCCAAACAAACTGAAAAAGATCAAATCTTTCCAATAAATCCATTGCACAACCTTTCATACAGAATGAAACATACCAACTAAAGCAGACCTCATAAGAAACGGAAACAGCCACCATTTGCATCTTCAACCAAAACCCTCCTTATCAGCACATCTTTATGACAATTCCAATCAAAGAAAACCAAAGTCTAAATAGGAAATTAAAGGTAAATTACCTCAAACATCTCCAAAGTCAAGAAATAGGCAACACAATCTCTTGTTTATCCTTCAATTTCTGAAAAAACAAAAAAATAAAATAAAAAAATTAAGAAATTGTAAGACCGAATGTAAATCCAGGAAGCTTGCTATTACTGACTTTGGACTTAAATTCTGGAACTGGGATTATTTTGGGTTGAAACTTCTCAATTGCAGACTTTATGAACCTTCATTCCTCGATTTGGCAAAATTTCTCCATTACCTGTATTTCCTTTCTCTTGGATTACTGTTTAAATAGCTTATGTTTTAATATTTACACCTCTGTTTTAATAAGATTTAACCTTTTTATAGAATTAGCAATGTCAGTTCATACCTGCAAAATCTAGGGAAGCTGGGGACAAAGCCCGGAGATGGGGATGAGCCGGGAAGCTGGTTGGGTTCGGACTTTGGAGAGTCCGTCAGTCAGCCTGGTGCAAGAAAAGAGGGAAAGTAAAGTGCTAGTCGAGTTGGCACTTGCGGTTGCGGAGCTGAAGCGGAGCTGGCGGAAGTGCGGAAGTGGTGGTTGCTAAAGGAGGTTGCGCAATCAGATTGGGAGGTTGTGCACTCAGATTCTTGGCACTGTGGATCACCTTCCAGTTCCTCGTCCGTCAGTCAGCCTCCGGCAGTGGGTTGCGCACTCAGATTCTTGCGCGGCTTGGAGGTTGCTGAAGTGGAGATGGCGGAAGCGGTGGATATGCAGCTAGCAGTAGCACCGATGACTGTGGCTGAAGTGGGAGGAAGTGAAGAAACTCGAGATGCAGCTAGCGGTAGCAGCAATGGCAGTGACGGAAGTGGAAATTGGGAGTTTGGGACAGTCGGTGGCGGAGGAAGAAGATCAATCGAAGGAGTCAGCAGAGCATACAAGTTAACCTAAGTGAAGGAAGGAGGAAAGTTTACCCTCAGTGGCTGAACATCGATTATAGCTTAGTGCACAGAGAACATGTAAATTTTAATTGAATCAAGGGTATTTTTGTAATTTCACACTTACTCGAGCCCAACGAGCGGCTCGTCGAGCTATCGAGCCTAAGAAACGAAGGCTCGAGCTCGCCTCGTTTATCTTAACGAACTGCTCGAGCTCGGCTCGAGCTCGGTCAACACGAGCTCGAGCCGAGCTTTGACTCGAGCTGCTCGCGAGCAGCTCGCGAGCAGCTCGAGTCGTCACCAGCCCTAGTCATGTCTAAGCATTTCCTTTGCAGTTTGCCTGCTGATGCTTCACTTCCATTGGACAATGGGCATGTATTATGGGACAATTTATGTTGATTTAAAAAGTAGCTTACATTTGTGTCCTTTCTTCTCAAGGTCTTGAAAATACATTTGCCTTTACCAAACAATGGCACTTAATTATATTTGTAAAAAATCAACACTAATAATAATACTATTGATTAGTTTGGGCAATTGACATTCCTCTTATAATTCCATTTTGATGGAAATCTTTGAGGTGATAGACTATCCTCTTTTGACACTCCAAATTGACTATGCTTTTTTATCTTTCTTTTTTTTTTTGGGTCAACTAGCAACATTGATCACCTTTAGTATTTTTTTAAGGGATAATTTCAGAAACCTCCCCTGAGGTTTCTGACAGTCTCAAGGACCTCCCCTGAAGTTCCGAAAATCCCTTATACCTCCCCTAAAACTAAGTAGATAGTTTCAGGTCCAACCCAATTGAGGTGGACAATGAATACAAAATGTGTTTCAGGAGAGAGAAAATAATCAAATTCCACCTCTGCCCTCAAGATTGTCATTAGTGAGGATGTTTATGTTAGGGGCTGCTTGGTTAAAGGGTTTGGGAATCACAAAATGGAATAAATCCCTTATTTGTTGCTTGGGTTAAGCCTATTGGAATGCTATTTTTGGAATCATTCCCGAGTAAATTGGGAGGTTTTGGACAAAACCCTCAACTCATTCCCTCAGACAATATTTATCAAACCAGAGTCTTCTTCTTCATCAGTTTTTCTATCTCTTCTTCTTCAATCAATCGCCACCCATCACCTTCATCGGACATCTTCTTTCTCATTTCAAAGTCCCAAATTCAGGTTCACAAATAGTAGCAATAGCTTTCCAAGATCTGAAAGTCTAAACGAGAAATTAGATCATGTAGTAGATGATTTGCTTGAAAAGGTTGAAGCTTCCAAGGTGGAAATTGGAGAAGAGAAGATTTTATTGATTGGGCAAAACATTCCTTAGAACCAAACAATGTCATGAGTGGTGAAGTTCTAGTGAAATTTTTTGATTGTGTTCTGGTAAATCTGAAGGATCTGCTTAAGTTTGAAAACAATTTGATTCTGTCTTTGAAGGAACAAATCTCAACCCTTGAAGTGAATTTACTATTCTTGAAAAACTTTGTCATCTTCACAAATAGGCTATGCAATGGGTATGCGAATATCGGACTGTTTTTTACTTCTATTGAAGATGCTGCAAATAATGGTATTTCGTTCTGGTGTTGGTTGGGATGGAAGAAATAGGGAGTCAAAAGTTGATAGTAATAGAGACAGCGACATTTTAACCCTTCATTCTAAAGCCATAAAGAGCTGGTGTTTTATGGAAAAATAGGTACTCTGTTCTTATAAAGTAGGAAAGTCATAAAGAGCTGGTCTTTTATGAAAAAATATGACTATTGTGAAAGTGACCGCGATTTGGTTTATGAAATTATCCCAAAAAAATAGCAGAATGAATTTGTTTGTTTTGAAAGTTGTATAACGGTCGTTAAACTTCAAATATTCCTTCCTTAAACTTCAAAATCTACAAAATCTCATATTTTGAACCCATTGAATGCCGAAATTAAAATAAATTTATTGAATTAAAATAATTTTTTTTCGGAAAAATCATGCCAAAATATGGAAGCATCATACGAAACAATGATGGGAAACTGAGGTACATGACCTTGCATTTGTTAAATGCAAGGTACATGATCTCGCATTGAAGGAAAATGGGTACTCTGTAAGTATAATGGACGAAAGCCATAAAGAGCTGGTCTTTTATTTAACAATGGGTTTAAATTTATTTTATCCGATAAATAAATTTCTAGAAAATTTTCTAGGCAATTTTCTAGGAATTCGTATTTATCGGATGCAAGATACAGTCCAACCAAAAAGCTTGCTAGTTTGATGCAATTTTTGGCGCCTTTTCTCTTAGCCCAAATTAGCAATTCATTTTATTATCAAATTCCAGTTAAGTTACTTAATCCTTTTTATTACTCATTTCACTAATTAATTCATGTTATTATCAGAATATATTACTTCAACAGCAGGGATATTTGTGTCAATTCAACGTTTTTCAAGTCATTTTGGGACCCAACAATCTGACAGGGGAGGTATAAGGGATTTTCGAAACTTCAGGGGAGGTCCTTGAGACTGTCAGAAACCTCAGGGGAGGTTTCTGAAATTATCCCTTTTTTTAAACCAATAATAGGTTTCAAGAAAAAGAGAGTATTATCCAAAATTTTTGTAACACAAAAAGACAGAGTTATAAAATGCAAAATGAGAAAATTGTAGAGTATAGACACTGTAATGTTGGGAAAAAAAATTCAGTAAGTGTTCAAGAAACAAAATAAAAATGTGAATATCATTATCTCACTTAAAATACAGCTAGATTAAGATTAATCTTTTTGATAGTAAGGAGTCTAAATACAAGTCACATCATTTTAACTTGAATTTAAACACAAAACTTTACATATATGGCATATATCTATATTCGTTAGTGTATACATTGACAGTGCATACATTGACAGTGCATAAAAGATTTATATATTTAATTAACCATACTATGCTAAACAATGAAGTATCATACAACACATTGAATTTAGGTCAGAAAAATAAATACTATGGGTACGAGGCATTAATTGTGCAAAGCTGTGAACAAGTGGAGCTAGCCATCTCTTTCACAGTTCCCTCTCTCTTAGGGCTTAAGCATCTCCATATCTCTTCTCTACTCCCCAAACATTCCAAGCATTAATTCTCGCCCCCCTCGTCCGCTACTCAGATGCCCAAGATGGTTAAGTAAAATGGATACCTCCCACCCACTCATTCCCTCAATCATAACACTCCCTTCCCCACACACACTGCACACATTCACTCATTCACTTCAATTTCCACATTCCACCTTTCTCCACAAACCCTTTTTCATTTTCTTTCTTTCTTTTCTTTTCTTCTTTTTTATGCCTTATATGTATATATATACAGTACTTTTCGTTTTTCTTTTTTCTTTTTAAATTTAAATTACACATTCACTTCCTCCAAAATCCACATTGCACCTTTCTCTACATATACACTCACTTCCCCACATTCCACCTTTCTCCAAAAACCCTTTGAAATCTTCTTCTCTCTCTCTCTCTCTCTCTCTCTCTCTCTCGCTGTCTCCCTCCTTTTTTTTTTTTAATGTCTTGGATATATACGCTATTTTTTTTGTCTTTTTTTTTGGTTTAACAAATTCACTCACTCCAAAATCCACATTCCACCTTTCTCCAAAAAACCCTTTAATTTTTTTTCCTTTTTTTTTTTCATGTCTTAGATATATACACTACTTTTTCTATTGGTTTCTGGGTTTTTTTTTTATTCTTGACACAAACAACAAAAAAGTCTTAATGCCACTTCTTACATCCGTACTCCCACTTCACTCCCTCCCTTTGCCCCATTACCCACCAGATCAGTCCCATCCTCATCTTTGAGTTTTGTACACTTATTTGTTTTGCACTTACATACCCCATATTTATCTCACCCCCTCATTTCTATCTTTCCCTCTCCTCCTTTTCTTCTTTCCCACTGAATTGGCTTTTCCTAACTCCTTCTCCTCCTTCTCCTTCTTCTGTTTGTCTTTGTGCTAAAAATTTCTGATGCACACAATTCCTTCCTGATCTGCATATAGCTACATATATAGCTTGCTACCAAATACAGCCTGCTGCTTCATCTTCTTTAGTGAAAAAGAGGGTTTTCTTTGTCCGGCGATCCGCGAATCTCGGCTAAAATGTCAATGGATATCACATCTGAACGAGTTTGCTATGTGCACTGCAATTTCTGCAACACTATTCTAGCGGTATAATACGTATACTTTTTTTGATTTCTTTCTGTATTTCTTTAGCTTTGCATATGCTAGCTCAATAGTCAAGGCTGGCATGTTACAAGAATTAACCGTGGCCTAATTCACAATCTTAAAGATTAAACTTCTTCTAGTGCTTGTAGTTTGAATCAATCCACATGTAACCGTCTCTGATCATTGCCGGTCCTTGAGCTTTTACGGGTGATGGTAAGTAGAAATCAAGAAACATGTAGCAAGAGAACACATTTACTTCAAAAAAAGTTTTCAAAACTATATTGCACAAATTTAAGAAGCGCAAACAAGCTAAATGGATTCCATTACCAGAAACGCAAATGATGGAGTCAGTTGAATTCATTTTGCCAACTTTTTTTCCCGGTCAAAGTGATATTTTATGGCAACTCATGATTTGGTTTGTCCTCAAAAAGCTTATATATTTCATACTCACAAGGAGGTTTTGTGTATTCAGTTCAGTTTGCAGCTTCAAAACATGAAGCTGTTGCTGGAAAAAAGAAGCAGTTTTCATTCAAGTTTTAACTCTTTCAAGTTCAGAAATTTAATGATCTATTACATAAGTAGCAAGTCCTATGTCTTTAACCAAAAGGAATCTAATTTTCCCTCAAATGTATTTGACATAAGGGCTAGCTGCAGATAAGATTTTAGGGTTCTTCTTTCTTGGCGTCATAAGTTCTACCTACATCAATCGATCTTTCCTTCCTACCTTTCAACAGTATGCCAACTGCATGTCTTTGCCTGTGTATTAAATTTGATGCCACTGTTACCTTGCCATCGATCATTTAGTTCTCCAATTTATTACTCACCTTGTCTTCTAAGCATTTTCATGTTCATACTTCTGCAGTCACCACTCATTGATAATTGTACTAGATCACTAATTTCTTGATTTCTTTCTTATTGTTTTTAAAAAAAGCCAAGAAACAAGGATGATTTTCAGATAAACAAAGAAATAATGGTATCTTACCTTCTTCACTTCCTATGTGAGTGTTGTTTTCTTTGAGGTGGTGGGGGAGATGGATGGATGGCTTCTTCTGTGCCCACTGAAGCATAAATGATCATTTGTTGCAGATCATTACCTAGTTGTGGGCTATTTTCTTTACTGTGGAAGATCTTCATTACTGTTGGCTAGCTTTCTTTAGCCAAGAATATGAGAAGAGAGCTGCCAAAAGAAAATCATGGCTGCAATTTACAACTGCTTTGTTTCCTTCCCTTTTTGAACTGCGATTTCATCATAAGATATCTCTTTTGTTGAAGCCCCTTTAGGAGCATATATATGTGGTCTTATATATGGTGAGCAAGACCACAAAACGATGAATCAAAGGCAGATATTTCAAGAAATTGGAATCAATTGAAGTTATTATTAGCCCACTTAACAAATTGAGACAGTCAAACAGCCAAGAAAAAAAACACTTGATCTGATATCTCTCTTTTTCATTGCAAGTCATGTCATTTTCGTTGCTGGCCTCTCTCTTTCTCTGTCATCAAGTGTCAGAAAAAGTCAGGAGCACCGAAAGAAAAGGGGAAGGGGAGGAATGGACATTGTGAAGCTCTTTAAACATAAGCAGCGTACTTATTACAATGTGACTGTAATGAGAGTCATGAGAGGCCTCTTCTTGAATGTCTTATTATCATCCGTGATCATCATAAATGATCAGTACTGATCAATGATAACAGCTAGCTTCAAGCCAAGAAGTAGCCACTCCTCCTCGTTTTTCACATTCTGAAAGCAACACTAACGAATTTTATCCATCTCCATTCTCCTCCATAAAGCAGCAAATGAAGGAAGAAAGAAATATCAGAGCAGAAGCTAAACCATGCTGCCGAAAGAGAGAGAGAGGGGAAAAAAAAAAAGAAGACTAAAAATATTTATCTTCTTCTTCTTCCTCTACTTTTATCCTTCAAGAAAGATCTAATCAAAATTTCCTTATCTCTCTCCTTTAATTTTTCACTATTTCTTCCCTTCTTTGTACATTCTTGTACATTAATCAGCATGAATTTTGAGAAATGACCCTTTTGGGAAAACATGAATCTTAAGAGAAAAACAGAAGAAATTCGGAGGTTTTTTCACGAAAAAAAAAAGAATAGAAATGGTTACATTGTTTGAGGGGTCTAACTTAGTTTTCTCTACAAACTGCAAATGTGTGTTGGTAGGTTAGTGTTCCATGCAGCAGTATGTTCGCCATTGTTACGGTGAGATGCGGGCATTGTGCAAATTTGCTGTCGGTTAATGTGGGAGCGTTGCTTCAGACTCTTCCCACACAAGATCTCCAGGTATTTTTTTAGCACATTATGTAGTACTAGTATAGAATTCAGGCTCTAGTTTGTCTCCTAGCAAGTTCAACGAGACTGTGGTATTTTTTAACAAACCTAAGAGTATGTTGCATTGCTTGATATACAGTACTATTATATTACTAATAGATGAGAATGCATAAGATTCAGTGTCTATGGTACCTTAAACTTGCAACATATAATGATTCCTTTGACTTGATTCTCATGTTCAAGATTCTTCCCACATGTTGTAATTCCTTTTGCTAATCTGTCTAAACAGAAGTTCACTATTAAGTAATGCTGGTTTTATTACCCCCCAAAAAAACATGACGCTGGTTTTATCACTTCAGTCAAGTTTTCTGCATCTTGCTCAGAGATGTCTTATTTCATTTGGGGTGTGTGGAGGGGTATTTGTTCTTGAAATGTGGGTAATGAGCTTCCTTTTTTTTCTCTCTCTCTCTTTTTAACTTTCTTTTCCAAATTGAATATTCCAACTTTTTTCTTATTATATGTTTCCTGCTTTGAATTCTTGTTTTTTTTTTTTGGCCCAAGTTAAAAATGTTCAAGAAAAAGTTTGGACCAATTTTATGGGGTCATATTTTACTACATTTTAGGTTCAGGCAGCTTGTATTATATGGCATTTGTGTTGAGTAAAAACAAAACTAATGCCAATGTCTTGTTTTGGTTGAAAGAAGTTGCAGAAACAACAGATCAACAATGAAGATGCTACTAAAGAAAGTGGCTCTTCTTCCAAATGCAACAAGTTTACTCCATTCGACTCTGCTGAGCATGATCAGCCAAGAATCACTCCCATTCGTCGTAAGCTTTCTCTCTCCCTTCTCAACCCACAAAACATCTGAGCACTTTACCACTTAAAACCAAAAAATACAAAAGAAACCAAAGAAAAATTTTGCACCAACTGAAATATCTGTTAAAAAAGAGTCCATATTAATATTTATTCTTACTCCTGGCAGTGTACATCAAATTTTCATCTAGTGTCATAGTTTCAAAAATGGATACTAGCTGGGTGAAAGTTGAATGAATAAGTACTATTTTGGCATTAAAGAAATTTACTTGAAAAAAAAAAAAATCCTACAATTACAAATCTCATTGGGAATGCCACTTGTCATTTGTCATCAAGTGAATTTAGATGAATGAATATAGGATAGGGCTGAAAAGGTCACCTGAATTTCTGCTTCACTAATGAACTGCTACGATTGTGACATATCACTTCAATCCAACTCACTAGTGAGATTGGCATCTTTCAGAATTTGCCATAATCACTTTTTATATCAGACTTACCTCTTTATTTCTCTGAGCATTCAGTCAGCAGGCAGTGATTTTAATGCCAGCTTTGCCACATAGGGATGGTACTCTTGTGCCACTAGAATTTTTTGGGGTTCTATCCGGAGAATGTGATGGAATTTATTTTGGATTTAGATGACATATATAATACGGACATGGGCATTACCAAGCAAGAAATACATAAATATTCACACTATCAAATGTATACCTTGTCCTTTGTGCAAGAAAATTCTACTTTGTCCATCTAACCACTTTTTAGGGTTAATGAGACAGTAAACCAGACCCAATAACAAATGTTCCATTTTTTTTCGCCTCAAATGATTTTTTGAATTCATGTAGGGGAAATGGTGAATTTTGAATTTCACAAAACTCACACAAAGTTATTTGCATTTAATAGTAGAACTCAAAATACCCTCGAGTTACCTGCATGATCATCGATATTCACTCTCTCCTATTGTCTGTTATGTGTTGACATACTAGGCATTGACCATATATATAGGACGCTTTTCATCCTTTGTACCCATGGACACTAGTGTGTTTCAAGAGACTTGAACAGCTTTATAATGAGGAAATTGCTTCACTCCACCTTGGTGGAATCACATCTTGAAAATCGTTACAAATTGATCCCTTTAATATTGGAGTGTTGTCCTATCATTTTCACGTTTATGCTCTTAACCATAACTTTTAATCGACTTTTCCACCAGTTGATCATTAATTAGTACAAAACAAAGAAAATCAGGCACATGTTCTTAGTTATTTTCAGTGTAAGAACAATATTTAGGATGCAAATTTATATGCACTAGTAGACCAATTCATTTATTTGAACATTTCGTTCTAGTCAAATTAGTCTAACTGCGACTGTTTCTCCCATGCATTATGCAGCCCCAGAGAAAAGACAAAGGGTTCCTTCTGCATATAACAGATTTATCAAGTAAGTTTGATGCAAATTTATTAGAAACATCTTGTATTAATTCAAGAATTTCAGCAAGAATTAAAAAGTTCACTAGGTAAGAAAATATATGGTCTTATGATGAGAATCATTGTTATTAATAGTTGTTCAAGTGCAAGAAATTTGAAACAGGAGATCAGAAAAAGAAAAGAAAAACAGACTTGATTTCCTCCATTTTTTTTTAACAGGGAAGAGATACAAAGGATAAAGGCCAGCAATCCTGAAATTAGCCACCGGGAAGCTTTTAGCACTGCAGCAAAAAATGTAAGTATTACCAAGATATTATTGACTATATAATGAGAGTCTGGTCAGAAATTAACTGATGTGTGCCACTGCTATGAGTGGGCTGCAATTAAGTGTTGTTTTAGCATTAAAATTACGAGGAAAATCATGTCTCGAAAGAGGGTGATCATCTTCTTAGTAAATTACAATGTGCAAGAAATTAGTAAATTTTTAACAAAATGTTGCATTGCATTGGGTCGAATTATAGAAGATCTTGCTGCCTCTTACGAAGTTGTTTGGCTACTACTAGGCACTTTTATTAATATTTTGACTTGGCACAAGAACACTTGTAGTAAGTGTCAAAATAGTAGTCGTTGTAGAATTGTTTGAATGTGATGTGCTTATGATAACTCCAACTTGAAATATTTCTAATGTTTTGCTTCGCCATCCCTTAGTTCTGCCCATGGTTAGGGTAGGGTAGTTAGAGTCTTCTGGGGAAAATTTACATAATTAACATAGATATGAGAGACAAAAAATTTGCAGCTATAAGAAGAGGAGAAATCTACATTTGGCACAAGTAAAAGAGACTTGCACTACCTAAAAACGAAGAAAAAAGAGTGACTACTTGCACCAACAAATAACTTTGTGTCGAACAATATCCATGATATCTACTGCTAGATGGTATTATTATGACAAAAGCTTAGCATTTCAGGATAAGAAGCTATTTTATAGACCTTTTATATACAACAAACAGATAAGAAATGGTCTATCTTAGGTAGGAAATTGAGCTCCAATGGTCACTTTTTACTTGTAGGCCATTCCAATTATATAAACAAGGAGCAAAATTTCGGTTTAGATGTAATAATACATAGATTATAGGTGTCAGAAATAGTCAACTTTTATTAACCGGATTTGGTTATGCTTCTATCATACTTGGTGCAAAGAATTAACTATCTAGATCATTATGTTTTCTTGTCCACACTAAATTACATTTCTTTGGTAGAAGATGGAATATTTTGTCCCTACTATAAACATTTAACAAAACGTAAAATGCTCAAGTTTTCATCAGTAAGTGAAATTTTAGTATACCAATGGTTGGTCAATACGTATCATGCCACGTAAAGAGTTTTTCTTTTATAAATCCTGTGGTATTCCAACACTGGACTATAATAATTTTGGGCGACTTAATACTTTAGTACAAAGCAAAAATTTAATCTCATTGATTAAGTTACAAAAACTTTACTAAAAACACACTTATATATACATATATTTACCCAGAACAATACTGTTAAGGTTAGATATTTATAAAGGTAGCCATATCTATTGTTTGATAACATAATGAAACATGCATTTGTTGTTTCAGAAGCACAAACAACCATTTCCTTTTTCAAGACAATTCTTTTTGGATAAAATTGCAAAAAAAAAAAAAAAAGATGAATCAATGATTCCTGTTACTGCCCCCATATTGTACCAATGCATATCACCAGATGAGGGAAAAGTTTTTAAAAAATTACTCTAAATTGTTCTTGTTCAATTACTTATGATATTACTAGATGTTGCAACAGAATTCTAAATGTCTTTTGTCAGAAAATTTTTTTTTTTTTTGAGTAAGAGAAGCTGTTGGCAAATTTTTTTCAACAGAAGTGCCTAACTACCTTTTCTTCTTTTTGCCCCTTAATTTGCTTTCTTTTCTCTTCAAAAGCTTCATAGTTTTGATAAAACATGGGCAAGAACAACATTTCAGCTGTCTAAAACAAAACACTATACTCTTCGAAGTTTGAATACAGACTTTGGTTGCACAGTTTTGATCTACACATTAAGTTCTCTAGTCTATTTGCACATTATCCAAGTATGTGGTAAACATTAAATTGAAAGTAGTGATATTCTGTTCAATTGTAGCACTGGCTCTCTGGTGGGGATTTTAAACTATTGTAATAATTAAAAAAAAAAAACTAAGATGAAGTACTAAATAAGTTGACAAGAGATCGATGCAATTCAGTAATGATGAAGTAGCACTAATAATTCCTATGATGGATGCACAGAATTAGATGTCAATATAAATGTAGGTTATAAATTCCTTAGCATATTTGGAGTTGACATGGCAATAAAACTCTATAGTTTGCATATTTGAAACCATTATTTGTATTAAAATTTCATCATGTCAGATGGCTAGAACATGTATACAGAATCATCTGGCTTGTTGTGATTAGGTCCAGCCATTTAAGAACACAATATCTTTAGCTTCAAATTTAATTAACTAATGATGCTGGTTTGATGTTTAATTAGTCATCTTTCGTGTGGAAAGTGTGTCTCTAATTACTGTCTAGGAGTATGAGAGACTAGGATTATCTTACCCATTCACAGAAAAACTTGAATTTTCAACAAACTAATTAAACCTAAT